ATCAGGAAACAGTCCTCCATAAAATGTGCTGCACACATCTGAATATTTGGGTTGAACTGTTCTGGAACAGTGTTGTAAATACAACTTAACCACTGATCTCTAGTCGTGTCCTCTTTTGGAAGGCCAAACAAGGCAGTTTCACATGGTGGGCTAGAGTGAGCGGAGGCCGGCGGCTTGAGAACGGCGCAGCTGGCGGGCTTGCGGCAACCACATGTGATGACCCCGTGCTGGACTCCGAAGTTGATGTATTTCCTCAGCGACCAGCACGGATCAGCTCCAGGCATGACGAAGCGGATATCGTCCTCTTTTGGAAGGCCAAACAAAGTAGTTTCGCTTTCACAACGACACACACAGCATCTCCATGACATGGCGGCAGCAACAACACTACAGCGAGAATAAAAGTTACGCCTTCTTAGAAAGGAAAAATTGAAATAGCATCATATGACCCCTTTAAAACAAAACCATGTTAGTAAGAGCTAATCAGACACTGCTAAGCATAGCAACTTATCTAAGATTTTAGATTAAAAACAATTAAATTGCACACTAACATTATGAAAAATTCTATGTATACTTTAAAATACTCTAAAGTTTTAGATTAAGATATTTAATTTATTTATATTGCCAAACAATGTAGTTGTCTGGAATTTCTTGGTGAGCTCAAACACAACTAACACACTAAGAAAAAAACCAAACAAGCAAACAAACACACACACACATTCGTACATATGGAGATATGAAATGGAGATAAGGAGACTTGTTAATCTGTCTTTGAGCCCTGTTTGACTTAATCGTATAAGGGGCCTTGCATTCTCCCACATGATGTATGTATATGGTCATTTGTTTGTGTATTTACATTTGATATTGTGCTGAAGAATATGAATTGTGTTTGGTAGATGGAAATGAGAGCAGACGTTGCCCTCCCTCATTTCTCACAAAGCAGCATGGATGTTCATTGAAGCTTCTTCACTACACCCTGCCCTGGTGTACTCATTTTCTGCAACATATAGAGCCTCAGTTGTTCTGTGGCACATAGAGCTGGTTGCTTACAGAGACAATGGCAGTGATTTGAATGAGAAAAGGGCTACTGCATTATGACACAGTTTCTCGCTGCAGGGGGTGCAGGAGGGGGGACGGGCAAAACACTAACATTTAGGGATGTGGTTTGTCCCCCACCCCCCCATCTATCACTGAATAAATTAGTGCAAGCAGTGTGTATGGAGTCTTACAAGCTCACAACAAATATGTTTGTTAGAGAGAACAACATCATTGTGGGATAAGTAGAAAGTTTGTATTGGCCTATCTAGTACCAACAAGTATTATTTACTGCAAAAATGAACCCAGAGATTCATAGAATGATTGTTTTCTGAATCATGTAGCGAATACACTTAGCCTAAAACCATAACATGCATTTTATTTCACAGTTGTGGGTAATTATTAGGTTATCTCTGAAAACTAGTAGTTCGGTGCCATATCAGCTATTTGCTTATATTATTAGAGATTTATTTTCTTGTGTCAGTGTTGGTTGATATTAGATATGTAGCTGTGCATGCTTATTTCACCTAATTTTAAATTTAAATAGTCTGTGCTGTCATCTAAGCCTTAACTTACAGTCGCTGATTCAGAAGCGCCAGATTGTCATAGCAAAGTCAGAATTGACCCTTTTTTTTTTCTAGAAATAGCCTTTGTGCACAGCCAGCCTTGTACTATTCTAGGATCAAAAAACTGTCCTCCATAAAATGCGTTGCACAAATTTGAACATCTGGGTTGTGCCGTTCTGTTGTAAATAAATCTTAACCAATGATTCCTAATTGCATCTACTTCCGGAAGGCCAAATAAAGTGGTTTTGCTCTCGCACTGAAACACACAGTGTCTCCCTGACATGGCTGCATCAACACTACTGCTGTTCCTGAAACCACGCCTTCTTTCTTTGCGTGCACATTTGGGCGGATTATTATTATGCTAATATTTCCACATATTGACGTAGATATGTGGGGGCGTGTTAGAACGAGCCGTTTTAGGTAGGCGTGGTTGACTCTTAACTTTTATAAAGAATATCTCTTTGGATTTGAGACTTTAGTCTTTGCAACTTTACAGATCTTCTTTATGCACCAAGAGCTTGTAACACTCCAAAGAGAAAGGAAAACTTGAAATCGCATCATATGACCCCTTTAAAGTTCGTCTTTAAAAAACCCATATCTATTAAATGTGACTTTTATCAAATTTTAAATTCAATATCCATTTTATACTGTTCATGTCTCACAGTGTTTTTAGTCTTATTTATTATTATTATTATTATTATTTTAGATTTTTAGGATTTTTAGATTTATTAAATAGAATAAATTGTATCCATTTCAAATTATCGGTTTATTAGTGTCAGACAAATTTTTATCTTTGGTGTGCCTTCATTTAACAGTATTGGAAATGGTCAAGCAATAGGCTGTTGTACATCTAGGGCTAAGCTATATGTCATATAATACAATTTTTTTTTCAAACAGACAAAATGGGATACTTCACCAGTTCACCTGCCACAACTCGCTAGGAACCATAACTTGAGCACCTGCTCTTATTTGTTGTGGTTTAGCTACCTGATTATTTAATTCAATTTGGTTTCACCACGTTTTACTCTCTACTATTTTTAATCAGACTCTCCTAGAGTATTTATATTTCATCGAGTGTGTACTTCAGATTATCAGGGCTCTATTCTGCTTGTGCTAGATAATTGGAGAATGTTAAGCAACAGTTGTCTGATGTAGCTTCTTTGAGATGTCATTTTGAGTACTTGTGGATTTGAAGTGGTAACAGGAGGAGTTCTCACCCGCCACGTTTCGGGATGCCATTTTGTTTATTGTTTTTGTTGTGTACGAGGTTAATTCATGCACACTATCCTGAAGGGGAGGCAATATTTTTTGTCTGTCTGTCAAATTGTGGTTACGGCTGGCAGATGACTTGGAAAAGATCCATATAAATGGCTCCGTTGTCACAGTGCTCTGATGACAGAGAGCGAGTAATCTGAGTGTGTTTTAGTTAAAATATGAGAGAAAATCATGATGCGCTCTGATTAATGGTTCTCTGCGGCAGTGAAAAACTGTTTCGAAGGAACCCGTTGAACGGCAAAATGCATACCATGAAATTTCAAAGCAACAATTCTTATCAGATGAGAATCTTTTGTCCCATTAAGCTTGACATGAAATGTTTCATATGTGCACCTCAGGCGATTAATATGTGGCCATGATATAAAGATGGGTTTTTATGAGCATTTTGTATTTGATATATTGCGCATTTAATGTTAAAGGACATGCTATATTATTTGTTGATTTATGTCAGCAGCGTGTGAAACTGCAGAGGTGTGTATGTGTTTAGAAAGGAAAGTGAAAATGAAGGGAAAGAAAGGTGATGAGGTTCTCGCAGCGCTCTATGGGGTTCCAACATCAGACAAACAAGAAGGTGACTAACACTGTGATTTACTGCCCTGGTTACTGCTGGTGAAGGCAAAACATGGTCTCGCGTACGCTTGCCTTCAGCATCTGGGTGCATGTTTAAATGTAGAGGTCATTTGCCTAGATTCTGATTAATTAAACATCCCATTGATGTGGTATTTCCGAACAAGTAATTCCATGTTAATGGCTGTCATTTGC